TGAAAATCTTTGTAAAATCTAAAGGATGCCTCATGAGGATGAGATCATTGGCAGTGGATCTATCTCCACTTGGTTTCCAGATCTACCTTCCCCCAGGCTGAGGTGTAATCTAGCTGTGGTAGACTCTCCCGCCTACAGGCAGAACAGGTAATACATTTGCTTTCATCCCACATTAGTTGGATGATATTGCATATACTCAGAGTTTTCACAATTACCATGTTCTATTTTCCTAGTCTACTATGTCGGCCTGGGCTTACAATAGTCCTCAGCTTAGTGTCCATCTCAGGGAGACCATGAGTCACGGCAGCCAAGCTTGCCCTAGGTGAGTCTGCAGAGAGAGTCATCTCCTCTGTCTACCTCAGCAAGGGAGCAGTTGGAGAGGAGAAGATGGAGGCAGCTTTTCTTAGTCCTCAATTCATTACTTTGTGGTTCTGGACCTAGCATGTATGCATAAGGTGACTGAACTAATCATTTTCTAGGATTTTAAATTACTGCTTACCACTGACTGAAACACAAGTGAAGCTGAACTCGCTCCTAAACCCTGCCCCCTTCAGCTGCCTCACAGATCTCTCCTTTCTTCTTGTTTTCACTTCAATGTCCTCTTTGCTGCAGAGGGGCAAGAACTTCCTCCCTGAAGACAGAATCTGAAACATGAAAGAAAATTCTAGAGGTAGCTTTCTTTCACTTTTCACTTTCTTACAAACCATCTCCCTCTCCCAAATTTGCCCACATTTACACAAAGAGGATGTGAGGGTGGTTTCCACCACAATTTAAGGAGTTATTTTGGAACCTCTTTAAGCAATGGATCTGACATGAAATCTATTCTGGCTATTATTTTCCCCCAGGATTGGTACTCTATAGCCCTGCCTCATCCTGGATTTTCTTATATATTAAAGAGAACTAACAGGGAAAACCTACATGTTCTTTTTGTTGTATAGTTTTTCACCTTCCCCAAGTAGAATGTCAGATCTATGTAATTCAGGGCATTTGAACATTAGTGCTGAATATGAAGATGAAGATTATGGGCTGAATGTCAGAAGATCTAAAATGCTCATGAGAAGAAGATGGAAAGAGGTTACTCAGGGATGGGGCAATTGGGGCAGAGCGACAATTAAGTGACAGGAGGCTTCTCCCCTGGCAATGTGATGTTGTTATGGATGTGGACTCTAGAGTCACTCTGCCCAAAACAGCAGCCACAAGCCACAGGTGACTATGGAGCACTCAAAATGTGCAACAGAGGAACTGAATTGTACATTGTATTTAATTTTCATTTAAAGATTCATATTCAAGTCAGTTATTGGAAAACTTAAGTATGATTGAAATAACTTGGATATGTAAATCTACTTTTTCAACCACAAATTTTATGAAATCTAAACACAGATTAAGTATTTCTGATGAAAATGTAGCACCCAAGTTGAGATGTGCTATAAGAGTAAATTACACATCATATTTAGAAGACTTAGCACCAAAAATGTAAAATATCATCTTAATAATTTTTACAGTGAAAGTATGCTGAAGTATTACTATTTTTAATATATTAGGTTAAACCAAGTACATTATTAAAATTTACTTCATTTGTCTCTTTTTACGTTTTTTATGTAACTGCTACAAAATTTAAACTCATACATGTGGCTCATATTTCTACTGCAAAGCCCTTTTCTGCAACATGGACTACTTGGGTTCAAATTCCATTTCTATGCCGTGAAATGTGCTCATATGTGCTTTCTGGACCTTTTATGAAAAATGGGCTAATAATAGATCTACTACACAAAGTCAATGTGAGATATAAGTGAACACATGTAATGCAATTAAAATAGTTCATGACACACAGTGTGCTTAATATATGGTTATTATTATTATTATTATGCTTATAGTTGTCATGGTTGTGAGAGCAGAAAGAAACTGGGAGCAGACTGTGAATGTCTTAAAGACTTTTTTTCTTTCTTATCAAAACCTTGTATAAAATGTCCATTTGGATCTGAATTAAAAATGTCCGTGGCCTTGCTCCCATGGTGTCCAGTTGCATATTAGACCCTGATGACATCCTCTTGCATGCTGTGGGTCAGAACATTCTCTGTCTCTTATATGTTATCCCACAAGACCCCAAAAGGCACAGCTAATGAAAGAGTACTGTGATATAATTTAGAAAGGAATATTAGAAAAACTGTGTCGCTGACCCAGGAGTGGGAAGGCACCATGGCACTTAACCATTCTGCCACTTAACTAAACATACATCCTTCAGAAAGTCATTAGTTTCTCTGGGCTCTGTTTCCTCATAAATTAAATAGGGATAACAGAAGGTGTTGTTGTGAAGACTAAATAAGACAGTGGAATTGAAAGAGCTCTATAACCTACATAGTATTGTGCCAACGTCAATACCTTTTTACTTTTAGAACCATTACTGCAGGATTGGTCTTTCTCTTAGATTAAACAGACAGTTGCTTCTGTGGGATTATTCCTAGGGATCTTGAAGACCTACCTGTCTTCCAAATTTCCCCTAAACTAGTCTGTTATAAAACGGTCAAATCCTATGCTATAAAAAATGTTCCGATACTCCTCTGGGAAATAAAAATGCAAAAAATATCCAATTTATGGATAAACTAGTAAGTCACTGATGGCTATTAACACCATGGCTCTTTATAGCCAGCTAGTCATTGGGCAAGTCTTTGAGGAAATGGGCCACAGATCACATAAGTTTTCACTCATTCTTCCACTCATTCATTCAACAAATATATACTGAGTGCCTGCTTTGTGTGAAGCATCTGAGCTCTTCCACTACATTGAGGAAAAACAAAAGACAAGGTCCCTGCCCTCAAGAAGCTTATATTCTAGCTGAGGGAGAGGAACAATAAACATGACATATATGTAAGTAATATAGTATATTACTGAAATACGAAACACTGGAAGAGGATAATGCAGATCAGCAATGTGGAGAGTTTGAGTGATGCCATTTTAAATCGGTTGGTCTGTCTGCATCTCATTAGGAAGGTAAAATTTAAGCGAAGACTTGGCAGAGTTGATTATGCAGATATCTGGGGAAGAGCATTCTAGAAAGAGAAAACAACTCATGTGAAGGCAGTAGGGCAGGAGTACACCCATGGGTTCAAGGAACAGTGGGGAGCCCAGTGTAGTCACAGCAGAGCAAGGAGAGGGAACTGATAGGAGACGAGGTCAGAGAAGTACATTGGGAGCAGGGTGGACAGATCATGTAGGGCCTTAGAGGTAGAAGGGCCATATAATTTATTCCAAACTGGAACCCATTTGAGAGTAAAAGAAGTGTTACTAATAATTACACTGGGGCAATAGTCATAAACCAAGCAAACCAGGATGTTTCCTGCGCCTACAGATAAGCCATTGTCCGACCTCTGGCTTTACTTTGAAGCAAATGGGAAGTCATATCTAGAGCAATTTCAACCTGTATTTAGAAACTGTACCAAGTGGTCAGACAAAACAAGTCCTCAAGAAAGTGGTATATGCAAGAAAGCAGTGTGCCCTACAGTTGAAACTGGGTAGAATTTAGATTTTTCCTTAAAGTCTTTAAAAACTTAATGCTTCAGCCAATCTCAACTCCAACAGCCTCTACTCTTCCTACCAACACAAGTCGTGTGTCAGATTTCCTCAAGACGTGAGGGGGAAGACTCTGCATGATACATTTAGCAAGATGGATCATCAGGGCAGGAGGGGTGAGCCCACAGGCAACGGTCAGCATCTAAGAAGATACTCTTCAATCTTTTGGAAGAGGAACAGGAGGGGAACCAAGGATGGACATGGGGAATCTTTGTTTACTCTCCCTCAAAGGGTTTTATCACTGCTGCCACAGTTAATCTACCTCAAAGAACCATCATATTACGTTTTTGGTCCTCCACTTCTGTTCTATCCAGAGAAGTTTAGAACTCTCCCCCAAACTAATGCTCATCACTTCTGTTGCTTTCTTTTTTTATTGTGGCAAAATATATGTAACATAATATTTATCATTTTAATTATTTCTAAGTCTACAATTCAGCAGCATTAAATACATTCACAACGAAATCTACTTAAAACTTCTTAATCATCCTGAACTCTTGTTGCTTTTTAATGTTCATTTTTTTTCTCTTCTTCTCCCCAAAGCCTCCCAGCACATAGTTGTATATTCTAGCTGTAGGTCCTTCTGGTTGTGTTACGTGGGACGCCTCCTCAGCATGGCTTGATGAGCAGTGCCATGTCTGAATCCAGGATCCAAACCAGCAAAACCCTGGGCCACCAAAGCAGAGTGTGTGAACTTAACCACTGGCCACCAGGCCAGCCCTTACTGTTTATTCTAAACCTTGCCTTACCTCATGGTGATGGAGGCCACGTGACTGACAAACTCACTCTTCTGTGGCAGCTCAATGTTACTGAATACTACTCAATGTTAAATCTTTACTCCTTCTTTCTAAAAGCATCCTATATGGTCTCAGTGTCCCCAGTTTACAAGCAAGGAAAGAGAGAAAAACCCAAAAAAACAGCTCCTACCTTCCCCAGCCTGCTTGATATATAGGGAGAGCCATGTGATACGGTGCTAACCAAGCAAAAGCTGTGGGAGAGCCTTGCAGAGGAGCTCGTGAAGCGGTGGGAGTGGAGACACAGACAAGCCTTGTGCCCTTTGCCCTTTACCCTTTGCCCACCCACTTCTACTGCCTCGAATAGGACACTAAGATGGAACTGGGAGCATCATGTTCTGGCCATGAGGTGACAAGCACACCCTAAGTATGACTGAGTGGAAAGAAGTCTCCTGGGTCCCAGGTGGCTTTCAAAGCTCCTATACCAGCCCTGAGTGGTTTATATCAGATATAACAAAAATAAAACATTTCATTAAATGTCTGTTTAAGCCAATGTTTTTTGTTTTTGTTCATTCGAGTCTCTGTTACTTTAAGTTGAATACAAATCATAACTGCCACAGGTTCCCTTCAGCCTAGCTTCTCTCAGCATCCCTCACCTTCACTCTTACACACATACACACACAGCAAGCATAAGTGCTTTACCTCTGAACCTCCAGTCCTCCGTCAGGTGCCTCTATCTTCTCTGGAAAGCTCCCTAGCCCTTTTCTTTCTGGAAAAATTTAAGTCTGCTAGTACCAGTTAGGAACCTAAAGAGAGGCACAATTTTTATGGCAAAAGGAAAAATCAGCAAAATTTTCTTCACACTCAGACATGAGTGGTGATCTCACTCAGGCTTCAGAAAAAAGATGATATACATGTAAGATAACAGAGAAAAATGAGAAGTGGCATAAATTAGTTCCCATTTTATTTTTTCCCATTAACCAGATGCCCTTAAATAGTTCTTCTTTAACAGCCAAATATCTTCCAGATATAAAGGCTTATAATACTTAATGCTTCTTAAGTAATTAAGTCTAGAGAAATGGAAGTAATGCTATTCCTCCTCTTCTATGATGGATTAAGGGTATACAGAGGAAGTGTAAAAATATCTAAGAAGAAATTGAAATTGAATTACTGCTATCACTTTATGCCTATTAAATTAGCAAAGTTAAAAACTACAAATATATTTATGGAGACTCACAACTCGCAGGACATCCTGGAAAGCAATTTGCTAACACATATCAGCAGTCAAAAAATACTTACACCTTTGACTTAACAATTGCACTCAAGTGATGTATCTTATGAAATAATTCAAAAGAAGATGTCCACATCAGAGTTATGTATAGCGAAAATGTGAAGATGTTCACTTCAGTGTTACTTAGAATAACAAAGGAAAAAATAAAAAGGAAACAAACCTAATACAATAAATACTAATGACAACACGACAGGAGACATACTAGGCAATGGATATACAGTTCAAAAAGGCAAAAGTGGCTGGCCCTGTGGCTTAGTGGTTGAGTTCATGTGCTCCACTTTGGTGGCCTGGGTTTGCAAGTTTGGGTCCTGGGTGCAGACCTGCGCCACTCATCAGCCATGCTGTGGCAGTGACCCACATATAAAGTAGAGGAAGACTGGCACAGATGTTAGCTCAGGGCCAGTCTTCCTCAGGTAAAAGAAAGAGGCAAATAAATCTCACGCTTAAATTGGGCTTATATTCAAGTGGGAGAAACAAAAATATGTGTTAGGTGGTGATCAGATCAATGAAAAAATAAATGAGGTAAAGTAAGATGATTGGGCTTCTGAATGATAGAGACAAAAATTAAACTCAGAGTATGTGACACAATGCTTTTCTCAATACTTACTGACTTGCCTCAAGTAGACCTCCAAAGATGCAGGAAATTCACTGAGATCTGATGCTCTAACTTCCCTCATGGAGAAAGAGGAAAGAAATCGCATTGCAAAAGCTGTGAAGAAGAGAAAATTTCAGGACTCCAAGTCGTTTGTACCTCCAAAGAGGCCAAGTCACTTTGCTAAGACATGGGAGAGAGCTGTTCAGTGACTAGACCACAGGACAGAGGCTGTGGCAGCAAGTGGGGTTCTCCCTTCAGCCTCTTCCCTGATCTCTGGGCAGGTGGCTGAGACCAAGACCATGGCCCTCCTTCCATATAAGACCTGCCTCAGGAGTCATCCTACCAGATCTTATTCGATGGAAGCTCTGAGAACAAGAATCTAAGCTATTACCAAATTTTGGGGTACCACTTATGCACTAAGGGCCTAAATTCTATGCTCCTTCAGATCCTCTTGCTGTGTGCATGGTGTACCAGGGTCAATGGACCTCAAAATCTCATTTAAAGAAAAATATGCAAATTTCAAAGATTTGCAAAAAAAAAAAAAAAAATCTGACACCATCAGTCAATCTATTGCCAGAGTGTGAGAAGCCGATGGAAATGACTTGAAAAGAGCAATCATTAGCCTTAATATACTTTGCTACCCAAAATCTGTCCACCTAAAAATCAAAAAGTTTGGAAGACATTTTGTCCCTCCCCAATTCCCACCCCTCCAGATTAGAGAAATGTGGTCTGTGCCAAGCAGAAAACTGAGATCAAACCCTTCACCACATGCATAAGGCCTAATAAAATACATTACAGAACAAAGGAAAAGAGGTCTTGTTACAGTTTGGAACTAGGGAGAGGTGGTGCTCGCACAACATTATGAATGTACTAAACACCACAGAATTGTTCACTTTAAAATGATTAATTTTATGTTATGTGAATGTCGCATCAGTTAAAAAAAGAGATAGAGAAATTGCTGCTAAATATTTAGACAAAAAGCAACATCTGGAAGCAATTTACTTGGACTTTAAGAAAATGACTTGTCCCACAGAATTCATGACACAGGACTAATGAAACAAGGATCAAGGGAGAGATATAAATACTGATCCTAGACAAAGATTTTTAAAAAGGAGAAAGCAAACATAGAAAAAGAAGTACAATATGAAAATAAGATAATAACACCAATCCAAATCTATCAGTTATCTCAATACATATAAATTAAATCTGCCAGTTAAAAGAGAATGTCAGGGGCCAGCCGGGTGGCTTAGTGGTTAAGTTGACACAGTCCTCTTCAGTGGCCTGGGGTTCACAGGTTTGGATCCTGGGTGCATACCTACACACCACTCATCACGCCACGCTGTGGAGGCATCCCACACACAAAATAGAGGAGGACTGTCATGGATGTTAGCTCAGGGACAGTCTTCCTCAAGCAAAAAGAAGAAGATTGGCAACAGATGTTAGATCAAGGCCAATCTTCCTGATCAAAAAAAAAACAGGAGAGCGAGAGAGAGAGAATGTCAGATTGGATTACAACACGATCCAGCTCACATGCTATTTACAACATGCCTACCTAACGCATGAAAATACTAGAAGGTTCAAAAGGGAAGAAAGGGAAGAGAGATATCAGGCAAATACTAACTAAAATACAGCCAGTATAGCTATATTAACATCACTCAAAGAAGACTTTAAGATAAATAGCACCATTAAGAACAGAGTTTCTATACAATGACTAAAGGTTAAAGTCACCAAAGCAATATAACAATTCTAAACATGTATGCACATTTTTAATAGACTCAACAGATATAAAAAAATGATAGACCTGCAGGAATAAGTTGGCAAATTACCATGATAGTGGGAGATTACAGCACACTCCTTTCAATACGTTATATTTTAAGCAGCCAAAAAAATTCAGCAAAAATACAGAAGAATTGAAAAACACAATTAGCAGCTTTCATTTGATAGAACATTTAGAAATATTTATTATATATTTAATAGGGCTATAAAAGCTATCTCAACAAATTTTAAAGAATAGTTATTACACAAATCTAACTGGTTCCTCAAACTCTAGAATTTAGCTGTGACTGTGGGAAAAATGGCGTCCAATCTTAGAGGAACTGAAATAAATTTTCTACCATCTAATAGACTATAAGAAATAGAAATTAAAATGTGTAACAGAAAAATTTTAAAAAGCCATACTTCTTGCCTGACTTTGTGGAGTGAGAGTTTATGCGCTAAGTACTTTTTTAATTATAAGAATAATGTATAACGCAGTTTTAGACTGCAATGTTTTTAACCTAATATTACTTCACAGACATTTTACATGCCATTGTTCTCATCTTTTTCTTAGGAACTGCTGCCCAGCCCTTAAATTTCTCCCTCCTTCAGCCAGAAATCAAAAGCCTCTAAATATAAACTCGTGTCAATAAGACACCTGCAGACTATTACACCCAGAAAATCAGAATTCCTTTTAGACTCAGTCTAGGTCAACCCCCAGCACAATCTATTCGAATTCCTGCCTCAGCCAAATGCATTTCCTTTTGTTAAGGTCTCAGCTGTGGTGAAATAAAAAGTGAGTTCTACTCCCTCAGTCAACTGAACGTTTAGAATCAGATAATCTATGGCTTTTCCTTTTCCGGAATCTAGTCAATACTAGCCCTTTTTCTCACCACAGAAGCCCATAACTAATTTTCTGATTAGCAACTGGTGCCCCAGAGCTATTTCTATAAAACTTCCCATAGGCCTTACCTCAGTGCAATCTTTCCACAACAGACCAGTCCTTGAGTCAAAGCTTCAGAGATGGCTATTTGTCTTGTTATGGTAGAAAGATCTATCAGGTAAAACTCTTCATTTATTAACAACGGGACATGATAAGAAGAGGTTTTGAAAGATAACAAAAAAGTGTCACTCGCTGGTTTCACTTGGATACTTTACTAGCTCTTGCTGTTTAAGTGGGTGCTAAGCGCTGGGAAAGAAGGGACATGAGTAATACAGGATTTTAAGGCTCCTCCCATCAAAGTTCTTAGCTTTCTATTTCCTTTTTCAGTCAAGCCTGAAGCGTTTTCCTCCTTTTAATTTCAGATTTAAGCCAAAGATATTTTAGATATAGGGAAATGAAAGCAAAGAACTCTTCCTTTATTCTGCTTGCCAAGGGTTAAGGGACTCAACACATAGAGCAGTGGTTTCAAAATGTGGCTCCCAGACCAACAACATCAACATCGCTGGGGAACTTGTTGGAAATGCAAATTCTCAGACCCCACCTTAGACCAAATATAGCTGAAACTGGCTGGGGTGGGGGTGGGGTACAGGACCAGCAAGCTGTGTTTTAATAAGCTCTCCAGGATCATTCCGATGTGCAGTGAGGTTTGAAAACTACGGTTCAGAGCATTTCTGTTTAACTGTCTGCCATGTGGGTCAATAAATTCTTGTAGGCTTGAGTGAGGTTTAGATGAGTGAGCTGGTAAATCTTGCTATGAAAACAGGGCAGTGGAAGTGGCTGGAAGAGATACTGGTAAAAAGCATGATCACTTTAGGATCACAAGGAGGTCCTTAGAGGAGGCATGGGCAGGCCTACTAGGAAATCTAAATAATCTCCCAGCTCCAGGGCTGGGAGCAAATAAAATAATACCTTGGTTCTCCTAGGACCTCCCCCTACACCAACGGTGGGACCCAGAATAGGCTAAGATCTGGTCAAGAGAAAACTTCCTGAAAAAAAAAAGTTGATGCTGTAGCTAAGTTTCAGGTAAAGTTGATCTTTCTTAAGGAAATTAGTCAATGGACAGTGAGGTGGTTAATTGGGGATGATCTTCCAATAGTGCCCTCGAACCCAAAAATGGGTTATTTTTTTTGAGTCTTGGGGCTTACCATCAAATACAGAGGATATCATGTCTTATATCATGGAGATAACCCTGTTTGGAGAATATATCATCCAGAAATTAGACCTGTGGGATCTCACACATGTATTCACCAGGATTTGTGTTGACTTCAGACAGACCAAGGACTGTGTGAAGTGAGGTGCAGGGTGATGAGTTTTTGATAGATCTTCTGGATAGCAGTCACTCCCAGCCCACCGGACTATGAAGAATCACATCTATTAACTGCTGACATACTAAAGTTATATTCTGAAAAGAAATGCATTACTTAATATTTCAGTTCCCCTAAGAGTGTCTGGAAGACTTTGCTTGTTCACTACACTCCTGCTTTTTATTGGTTGTTTTTCTGTACAAGGTTGAGTTTCATGAATACTCCAGCCTCACAGCTGTATAAAATTTAATGAAGAGTGAGAATGGATATTAGGCACATGTTGTCATAACGTAAGGCTCTATAAATACCATCACAGTTTAAATTTCCATCCTTCTTCATGAGGAGACCAAAGATCCAAACAGGATAGTGTGAGGCACACAAACTTTTATTAAGATGGAAAATTTTATCCATATAGTCCTAGAGGAGCTATTCTTCTGTTTCCAAGAGTAAGCAGTGTACATAATGAAAGGATAGCCACATTCCACAGTGAGGGCAACTCTACATCCTGTCGTGAGAGGACCTTTCCCTAATGAACTATCTGATTTGTTAACACCCAGATACAAGTGAAACAAGTAGGCGGTGCTGGTGAGAGTATAATTAGGTGAAGTGCAGGATCATGGTATGCTAGGGGATTACTGCAGCATATAATTCGAGCCAGAATGTCTCAGTGCAGTAGGAATCCATATGGGAGGCAAAAGACCAGCCCCACAGTGTTATGGGTGAGATCTCACAGACGTGATCCCTGTAGTGTGTGCATGGGCTCAGTAGATGTCCGGGTCCACTGGACAGGCCAGATATACGAAGTGGTTCCAATGGTTTGAAATCCAACTTTACAGGGATCTATAGTCAAGAACCAGTATCCAAAACCCATAGTCTTAGGAAGGTTGGGAAGGAGGGGTAGGTAGGCCTGAATTTGACCATTATCTCATTACTTCTCAAGGGAATTTCTTACTTGGGATGTGTTTTATGGAACCACCAGGCTCTTCAGAGGCACAGATTCTAGGACTGAGGCTACCAATGTCCAAGGGAAATTCCTTCTCCACTTTTCCACAACTGGCATTGATTCCGTAATCCCTTCCTCTAGAGTTGCCCCTGGTAGGGGCCCAGGTGAAGCTGTCTGGGACACGAAAGGTGTGGTCTTGAGGATTATCATGAACCCAGGTTGTTGGGACAAAGACGATCTTCATCAGTTTACAATATTAGCCCATTGGATCTTCATGGCTCCTGAGATTATTTTTTCAGCTTTCTTTGGAGAGGAAATATAATTTCATGTCAAATCTTAGAACAGACAAATCAATGTTATAGTAGATGCCTGATCATTCTCTTCCAGTGGTCCCTGAGAAGGGTCGTGCTCACCATGTCTGACTGGGAAAGTGGTTTCATAAAGTTCACATGAGGCAGCCAGGATTCTGCATAGTTTGACATTTCTATCCAGCTTCTTGTGCAGGAGTATAATATACTTTTCAGTCTCCTCTTTCAGGCAGGACAAAAGAAACGCCATCTTTAAACTTCTCCTCAAAATGTCAGTGCCTGTACCTTCACTGACATTCAAAGGTGACGTAGGAGTCATACCCTCTCCCTAGAATTGCAGAAGTGGGTCTGCAGGCACAAGATAAGCAATTCTAGGCTTGACTCTGTATTGGCCATGGAGGCCACCGGCGAGGCACCAGAAGCCATAAGAACTACATTTATGAGGTAAAACCACAGTTGTGTATGATTCCCTTTTATCAGAAAGGTGGGTGTCCATTACACTTGGCCCTGTCTAAAGTGCAGTGTTCCAGGAACCTGAATACAACACAAGGGTGAAACACCAGTGGACCTCAGGATGTTACACATGAATCTGAGATAGAGAGACCCAAGAGACAGTACGATGGGAGGAACTCCAGTCAAAGCTAAGAGAACATCCCAAACAGAGAGTCAGAATGAAAGACCATGCTGAGAAAGAGTCCAGGTATAAGACAACAGAATGAGGACAAGAGAAAAACACACAGGAGCACAAAGGGTTTAAAGTGGAGAGAGGGAAATTGAGGCTGGAAGAAGACAGCAGTCTGATTTAAGAGAATCCCTGTGGCCTTGGGTTTGCTAGGAAAGAGTCCAATAAAGTTACCGGTCCTGCTCAGAAAAGGTCTGTGCACCTCAGGTCTTCTGCAGTCACCTGGCATTAACTGCTCTTCTGAAACTGTAGTAAGGTCCCCTGGACACTACAGAAAAAAATTTAACATAGAAGAGGTGCTGAATACTTTTTTAGAAAGTTGCAGAAAGAGAAATATAGATGAGTACAGAAATAGAAAATTGGATTTGAATATCAAGTTGCTTTTTTTGTGACTTTAGCAAGAGTTGCTTCAGAAATAAATAAGAATAATGTATAAGTGCCTAGAAAATGGTAATGGCTTACACAGATTGTCGTTAGAAATTTTGCAGTCAAAGAAGAACAGAGATAGGTCAATACATCTTGAGAGGCTTCATAGGTGGCAGAAAAATGAATTATTTTTAAAAATGGAGGTGACAGACATATGCATGTGTGAGGGTGTATATGTGTATGTGTTAGGCTGAAGGCCAAGAGTCAAAAGAAATTATGTGAAAAGTGAGGGTAACAGAAGGTCATATTGGGATCTTGAAGGCATCATGAAAGGATGTGCTCTGGAGCAAAGATGAAACTTACCTTAAGGAAGAATAGAAATGCCTCATCCTATGAGGCAGGAGAGGTGGCAATATAGGAAAAATAAGAACACAGCAAGGCCAAGCACATGCATTTTGTATCTACAATGTTTCTTCTAAAACTGAGAAACATCAGGCTCACCAGTAAGATATGGTTTCTCCAGGTTGGCTGTAAGTCAAGTAAAGTGTAATTATTGATCTCCTTCCCTAAATCAATAGATGCTTCTTTGTACAAGGAAAAAAGAAGGAGAATGCAGAAGGTCAAGAGCAACCATTCAGGCTCAGAATCCTCGAAATAAAATGGCTCGGAAGCAAGGAAAAGAAAAGAAATTGAAGCCACATTTACCTTGCTCGACCTCTGGATCAGGATGACAGAAGTAGAAATTTTGAGTACAAATCTGAATTTCACCCAGAATGTCTTGCTTTGTTTTGTTTCCAGCTTTTCTATTATGAAAAAATTCAAATGTAAATTTGAATTAATAAGATAATGAACACATGTATAACCATCGCTTAGATTCAAAAAATATTAACATTTGCCTGAATTACAAATATGATATGGGTTTGTGTTTATCTGTACAATTTATTGCTGACCCATTTGAAAGTACATTAAATATCATGATATTTAGCCACTAAATATTTCAGCATACGTCTCCTATAATAAGAAAAAAATCTCCAAATAGCTGTGATACCATTATCACACCTAGGAATATTATCAAAAGTACCATTATCATCCACTATCCAAGCCACAGTCAAATTTCCCAAACTGAGCAACAGATGCTTTCACAGTTAAGTTAGTTTTTTCAAACTAGAATCCAATCAAGGCTTATGCACTACCTTCGTTTTATATCTTGTGCTGCTTTTAAATCAGAACAGGCACACAAACACACACACACACACAATGCTTTTTTATCCCCATGACGTGCATTTTTGAAGAGTCTCGAACAATCGTCTTATAAAATTACCAACTCCTGATGAGTTGTTTCTCACAGTGGTGTTTAACATGTTTCTATGTGTCCTCTGTTCCCTATATACTGGGAGTCTAGAGTAAAGTCTTGATTGAATACAGATGAAACGTTTTAGACAAGGGTATTTCAAAGGCAGTGCAGTTACCGCATATTGCATTACACCAGGAGGCACACAATAGCAAGTTGTCCACTATCAGTGAGGCAGAGTTTGATAAGAACAGCTCTGTTTTAAAGGTACATTTAACTTTTTGAAAGAACAAGAAATCCGTAGGGTGATACTTAGACCTCATCCAAATATTCTATTTCCTAACAAACTTTCATCTAATGGCTCCAAAATTCATTGATAATTTTTACGTGAATCAATTATTTCAGGATAACAAAATGAGATTTCTAGCGGTATCATTCCTTCTATATTTATTAGCTTGTAGTCTTCTGCAATACTCACAACACTTCCTTCTTTAAAAGGCAAGACTAGTCACCAATATTCTGGTCTTTTCTTCCTTCTGAGAACATGATGGAGTGTATTAGCTTTTGCTTC